CTTATTAGCATTGAAATGAAGTCTGGTCTTACAGACCAGTCTTACTTCCGCTGTAAAAATATTACAGTGCTAGTCATCAAACAGATGCTGTGGATTTAAAAGCTTACTTTGTGTTTCTTTGTGTAGAGCTGAGTTCATGTTCAAAGAGAATAGTAGTGGCTTAATTATTCTAATAAACTTTCTGGAGAAGTTGCTAAGAGAAACTGCAGAAACATTCGACTTAGAATGTTTCAGTTTTGCTGGAGTGCTACATTTCATGAGCAAAACTGGAATTTTGCTGCTCTGAACTTTGATTCAAATGGAAAAGAAAATCTGTGTATTTTTCAAGTATGAGGAACTAATTGATTTCCTGAAGTAACATCTATTAGAGCAATTAAATCTAAGAAGATCACAGTCTCAGTAAATTTTATTGCTTACAAGAAATGCAACTAGCTTTTGTTATCTGTTGGCACTGGTAGCCACTGTTAAACAATAATTAATGGCTTTATTTTGCTCTAGTGTTTGGCACTGTGCCTCACTAGCAGCTGGTAGATTGGTTGCCACATCAAAGGACATGTATATGATAACTTTACCTGGTCTCACTCCTTCCTTCTAGCTGTATGGTCTAACTCCCCCTCATGACACATACATTTATGAATGGATACTCTTATCTTAGTAGTGTTGTCTCTGTTCTTATTTTTAAGGAAGGTCTTAGAACAGTAGGGGAATTAGTCAGAGTCAAATGCCCACAGAATAGTCAGCAGCCACCTCTATGCATTTGTGTTTATTTCAGTAACTACCTGTTACACTGCTTTGTTCCCCTCCCTGCAGTTTGTAGGTTTTCAGAATTACATATTTCGTAGAGGTTTAGAAATGCAGATCTGGGTAGTTATAGATTAATGAGCCATTTTCTAGTAAAAAAAATGCTTGTAACTATTGATGCCTTTGTATGCAGACGTGGATGTCTATTCTGAGATAACTGGGGTTGTCTGAGGTTACTTTTTCAAAACAAAAATTTAGGCTACTGAAAATGTAAATGGGGAGAAAGAGAGATGTAGGGGTTAGCTGAATACATATAAAAAACTGAAAAGGGAATCAAAATATAGGAAATATGATCAACAACCCTACTTGATGTAGAGTAAGAAATAATTAAAATGAACCACCAACCTCTGTGATGAGGTGAAATCTAACTACACTGACTTCAAATGTAATTTATCCAGTATATGTCTATATACTGTAGTCCTTGGAAATAATTGAAACAACATACTGGTTTTAATCTAGGAAGGAATAAAAAAAATCAATGGCAAATGAAGATGTAGAATTTTGGATACCAAAAGTAGGAAGCTCAACAAAATTTAACTGACTGAGAAGAAACTCATAAAACTGGGAAACTGTCTATTTGATTGATTTTAATTAGGTATTGTTTTATTATCACTGATAATTCTACTCTCCTTGCATATGGTGAGTTTTCTTATGGATTAGAGCATCGTTTTTTCAAGGCTTGAAGCTGTGTTTGTGAGGCTTTAAGAGAGACATCCAGAGTCCGTCAGTTCTGAGCCTCCTTGCCAGGATTGCTGGAGATTCTTTTGAGAGTTTGAATATCTCCAAGGCTAGAGGTTTCAGAACTTCTCTGGGCAGCCTGTTCCAGTGTTTGACCACTGACACAGCAAAAATGTTTTTCTAAGATTTAAATGGAACATCCTGTAATGGTTTCTGATTATCACCTCTCGTCCTGTCATTGGGCATCAGTGAGAAGAACCTGGCTCCATCTTCTTTATGTGCTCCCATCAGGCGTCCTGAGTAGAGGACAAGGATCAGTCTCTTGGCCTGCTGGTGATGCAGCCCAGGATGCTGTTGGTCTTCCTGAGTACAAAGGCACATTGCTGGCTCATGTTCAGCTTGTTCTTCACCATGATCCACGGGTTGTTTTCTGCAGAGCTTCTTTCCTGACTGAACTCCGGGACCCTGACAGCTTGCGTCTCCAGCCTGAGGTCCCTCTGAATCACTCATCTGTCAAGCACTCCTCAGGGTTTTGGATTGCCTGCCATCTTGCTGAGCTTGCGTCAGTCCTGTTATCCAGGTCATAGATGGAGCTGTTGAGCCTTATTTGTCCCTGGGCTGCTCCAATAGTGACTGACCTCCAGCTGGTCTTTGTGCCACTCACCAAAGCCCTTTGGACCCACAGTTCAGCTGGGTTTCAGTCCATCTCACTGTCCACTTATCTAAGTTGTACTTCATCAGCTTCTCTGAGGCTTTTATGAGTGAGTGTTTTGAAAGCCGTGCTGGAGTCAAGGTAAACAACATCTGCTGCTCTCCCTGCATCCACAGAGCTGGTTACTGCATTGCACAAGGCTGTCATTGGTTAAACATGATTTCCCCATTCTAAATCCATGGTGACTACCCCAGATCATCTTCTTGACTTTAATATGTTTGCAGATGTTTTCTAGGATTATTTGTGCCATCATCCTGGGAACTGGGCAGAAGCTCATTGGCCTACAGTTTCCTGCATCTTCCTTCTTGTGCTTGTGGAAGATAGGAATGACACTTTCTTTCTTCAGGAATCACCCCTGATCATCACAGCCTTTCAGACATATTGAAGCTGGGATTTTGGTTTCATCTATCCTTCTATCAGTTGGAACCTCTGGAAGTTAATTTGGATTACAGTGTTGTTTTTATACATTTTTAATTTTTTTTATTAATGCTGGGATTTTCTTGTTAATCATCTATGAGAATAGCTTAACCTTTTTTTTTCACCCTCACTCAGAAACAATGAAGAGAATTATTACAATAGTTAACTTCCACAACCAGCTTTTCTACCACACTTTTCAAGTATACTTTTTCAAGTATTCTTTCTTGTCTGTTGGAACATGATTTTTTCAGAGAGAGCAATTTTGTTTCTCTGTAACTTCTAACAAGATACCCTTTTCTAACAATAAGGGCTAACATTCACATCTCAGATTGGATCTGTGAAGGTTTTGCAGACATACTTGAAATGTACACTTAAAAGGAAAAATACAGGCTGTATGATGTAGCCCAAAGTGGTGATAATTAATTAAATTTAAAAAAATAATCTAAAATTAGATGAGAGGGATGTGCTAAACTATTCCAGTAGTTTAAAGATGAGCATTACAGCTCTCATGTTTCTTGAGTTACCTCTTTTCTGAAGATCTAGTCAAATTGAGTTGTTAACTAATTTACACGTGAAAAGACATTTTGCACTTGTAATTACTTACTAGTGTTTTCCAGAATTATTAGTAACACTTAAAATTGCATTGACTTTGAACATATACTCTCAATGAAAACAAGATAGCAATGTTATCTTGCTTTGTTTTTTTCTACAAACAAGGTTTTTATATTGTTGGTAGATTCTGAAATACTTTTATTTAAAATTCACTTTGTTCAGGATTTTGAAGCTAATGAGACAAGGAAAAATATCAGTCAGAGTAACTATAAAAAATTTTAACCTGTGCTGGAAATTACCTAAGTGCATATCACAGTACCATTGTAGAGCCAAACGAAAAGCTCCTCTACATCCTCTGTTAGAATGGTTCTAGAAGTCAGAATTTAAATGTTTTTTTAATGTGTGTAAAATTAGGCTCCCACATTCATTCATGTCCAGGTACATAATAAAGGGCTTAATTTTCTGAATTTCTGAAGATCTACTAGATTCTGTGGCTGCTTAGCCTGCATATTATTCATATGAATGAGCACTAGTTCTTCCCAGCTTGTTATTGGTGGAAATCAATAGTTGCCAATAGGAGTCTTAGTTTTGTGGACAGATTAAATAACTACTTGCTTCAAAAAATTATTTTAAAATATTCATTACCATAAGCATTGCCACAACTGTGTTTTTAAATGTTTCTAGATGCTAAAGAATAAAATATTCCAGTTGGTAAGTGTTTCTTCCGGGTATTGATGGACCTAGAGCAGTGTTGCTAGTTCTTACTCATGCTGTGAAAATATTCTGTATGTTATGTGGTAGTTTCCTATCTCTCTCTGTAGGGTGCTGTGGCAAGTGCTCAACTTTAATACATTTAATTGTACACCTTTAAGGGTGGTACTAAGACTAGGAATGGTACTGTTGTGGTTTGGGGGTTTTGTTCATTTGCTTCTGCTTTAAATTTCAATAGCTTTTGCTGTCTGATTACATCCCTCTCAAGTTTAAAATAACAATTTTTGAGTTGAAAATTGCATAGAAAATGATCATTCTGATTTGGAAATTATATAGCACTATTCCCACTCTCTGAACTTCCAGTATTACATAATATTAGTATGATCATCTAATTCCTGAACTTCTTGAGAATTAATTATATGGAATGACAAAATCAAAGCTTGATACACATTCTCTTGTCATATGTTGCTTTTCTAGATAAAGAGGCATAATGACACAAAATAACAGAAAGGAATTTTTATGTGCATCTTTGACACTTTACTGAAGGTGTATGAACTCAGATATTAAAAAAAAAATCTTCTGCTGATCCTAGTTCTATATGTTGGTTGATAAAATTAGCTCTATTTTTTAACCTGGGCCAGTTTGCTGTAGACAGTGAAGAGTTCCTTATTTATTTTATCATGCATTTCAAAAACATAGGAATAGATCCTGGAAAAAATCCAAGAGGCTGAAGAATATTCAGTTCCTTTGCCCTGCAGGCAAGATTCACATGTATTCTTTCTCAGAAGTAATGCACTATATATAAAAGACACCAGTTAAAATAAGAAGAAAATTATTTTTATTGGATTATGGATTATTTTCTATGGTGCATCCAGAGATTAGGTTTTGAAAAGGCTGCAAGTGAGTAATTGATCATAGAAGCTTCCAGTTTTCATGGAAGAGCAAATATTCAAAAGTGTCTGCAGATGCGGAGTGTGAAGATTCCTTTGGAAAGCAAAGTAGTTAATCTTTCTTAATATATGGGAAAAACTTCTTGTCACTTATATTGCTAATGCTGGTAATAAACTGTTCCTAAACATATTTTCATAAACTTGCACTTACTAAGCGTTTTTCTTCTTCCTGTTTGTAGAATATTCAAGGTATCTCTAAACATCCAGTTACAGTTACAAAGAAACAGTACATAAAAGGTAAAATGTGTTTTTATTAAGATGAAAAGGCAGTTTTATCTAATTATTTTACTGAGTGGTATTATATTTTGAAACAGACTGATAGGTCCAGCATTAAATATCAGATGATTGATGCTTTCTTATACATTAGCATTTAAATCAATTACTTTTTCTGGTTGTTCCTGAAAAAATATTTGGTGTTTCAACACTGACTTAAATAGTTAAAAGCTTTTAAGGTTTTTTTTTGTTTCCCTCACTTTTTTCAAATGAAATTATGAATCTTAAATATCTTAATCCTAGGGATGATTTTGTGGGTGTTCAGTTTATAAGACTGTCCTGAGTCAATGTTTAAGCTGGGTCATTTTAATTGCACTCACAACTAAACACCAGTAGATGTGTTGTTTTTGATAACAGAAGTGGATTTAAGATGGTTCAGAGAGAATCAAAGTGAAGTCTAAAAAAGCATGAGCCAAATGATAAAGAGAGAAACACACTCAAATATAAGAGAGATTTTGGAACACATATTCTCCTCCTTAAATGCCTGTAGCCACAGCTGGGCAGTGGTGCTTGGTTCTCTGCTGAGGGCAAGCTTTCCCTTTTCACAGCTGTTCACTCCCTGTGTTGGAAATTATACAGGTCATTAAACAGGAGGCTATGGAAGATAATGTAAAATTTTGACAGTAGTTTTATTTTATCTATATGAGTCATTTTTATAAGTATATTTTTAAAGTTGCTATAAAAAACTGTGTCAGCAGGGGCAGCATAAACCTGAGGTGCTGGACATAACTGTAGCACATGAAACTTTCTAGATATTTTGTTAATGATCTTATATGCTTCTCAAAAATATATTTTTAAGTTTTTCCCATATCAAGACACATTTTTTTCTATTTTCTTCACTTTTATGCTGACCAGATTCTGTTGCATTTCAAACCACCATCCCTACCTACACTATGTCAAATGATATTCCCTGGATGTACTCAGTCTCTTGTACTTTGTGTTAGTGTTTTATGATATTACTGAGGATTTCTGTCATTACAATTTGGATGACTATGACATCTGTATATTCTCAATATTATGTTCCCTGCTGTCTGTAACTCAGAATTTGGTTATTAACACATTGCTGCATCATGTTCAAAGATAAAAAAATAACATATTTTTATAGACCTTTCTTTATGAATGTAACCTTTATTAAATGATCTGTGAATAATGTTAGTTATTGTATGTATTTGATAGCTTGTGGTTAGGGAAGGGTTTGTATTTGAGAAAGGAAGTAAACAATACTGCAAGGATGGTGGAGGTAAAGTTGTACATGACTGACAGAGTGAAATAATTGTGATGGCAGTTGGTGCTGTGCTATTTTGCTTACATTGCCATTTCTGTGGTGTTAGCCGTGCATTTGGTATAAAACCTCCTATGGTTTGCAGCATAGTATTTTTTAATTGGTGTTTGGGATTTAAACGTGTATCTCCTCTCTAGGAAAAGAAGAGGACGTAATAATTATTTCCCCACGAACATTGTTTGTTTCAAAAAAAGGATGTACATTTTTAGCGGCAGGTAAGAGAGAGTGAATTATTATTCTCATACATATTAATATTCATAGTTCTGTCATGTCTTTTTTCCCCTCTCCTTTGGATGACATATTTTACAAGGCTGTCAAATCCCTTAGTAACAATTAATATTGTTATATGATGTGTATTCCTTATTATGCTTTGGAAGTGGATGATGTTTAAGCCTTGTGAGTAGAAACAGTTAATAAGATTTATTGACACGGTAATGAAGGATTGAGGCACTTTGTGATCCATAGCTGGAATATAACATCTTTAGGATGAGCTTTTTACAGGCATCTGTCTTTTTTGAGCATGAAGAAGTGATTTAATACTCCAGGCTTACCTTTTAATTTGTGATAGTCTCATTAAAATGCAGATATGTTTTTATTTTAGAGCAATAGATGCATTTTAACACTGTTTTCTAGACTTTTCCCATATTGAGTTAAGGATCCTTGCTGACTTATCATCTGAACCAGAACTTCTGAAACTGTTCCAAGAACCTGAAATCACTGATATCTTTGCTACACTGGCTTCTCAGTGGTAAGATTAAATGTTGCATATTTTAGTAGTAATTAGATAAAATATTAAGTATAACCTAAGCTGTTGCATTACTGCATAATGGTAACAAAAGACAGTATTTTGTTACAATATATGTTATTCATACTATTTTAACACCTGAATTCCCTTCTGTCTTTCTGAGCCTTTTCTTCTCTGCTGTGGTTAATTACCACATATCAAAGTGCTGCTATCCAACTGGGCCGCATGACCCTTGTGGCTAAAGCTGATGCCATGATGTACTGTGAACAGTGGTTGCTGGTAACTTTCTCCTTATGTTATTTTTAACCAATTATTTTTAAAAATCCAGAGCAGCTGTTAGAGAGTTTATCTATCTGAAAAACTGCAGAACAGCTTTTCTCAGTAAAAGTTTTTTTTCTCAATAAATTTTTGAAATTTACTTAGCTACCCAATAGAAGTATTTGAATCAAATTACATATATTTAAGAAACAGAGGCTAGAGCTTATGGGATTTCTTTTGAACTAATAGGGTTTAGTGCTTCCATATTATGGAATGACTTGGAAAAAGTGCTACCCCAATAATTTTAAAAAAAGGTAGGTTTTTTTAATCTCCATATCTATATAATTATTTACTGATCTCTTCAGTACGCTGATTAAAAGATTAACTATTAAAAAAAGATGGAATATTAATCACTTAGCTGTTGAAGATATTTTGTATTGTTCTTGTGTCATGGTGATGCCTAAAAATCTCACTCGAGACCAGGACTCCCTTGTACTCAAAAGTGCATGAGCATTCATTAAGTGGCAGGATAGATGTCAAGAAACTTGCGGTTTCAACAAATAGGTCAGAAAAGATTGAATAAAATGCTGTAGCATAAAGCTGTTTAAACAGACTGAAGTTTATGTAAATACTATGCAATTTGCTTATTTTCTCTTTGCCTCACCCTCTCTTTTATCTATTTTAGTTGAAGATTGTTAGCTGAAAATTAAAGCAAAAATACCTATGATTGATTGAGCTCACTTCTCATCCTACAGTTTCTAAATTTTTGCAGGCATAGTCTTCCTAAACATGATATTTCCTACACACTTCTGTAGTTCACAGAATCATAGAATCCTAGAATGGTTTGGGTTGGAAGGGACCTTAAAGACCATCAGGTTCCAGTCCCCCTTCCACAGGCAAGGACACCTTCCTCAATCCAAGGTTTCTCCAAACCCCATCCTACCTGGCCTTGGGCACATCCAGGGCTGGGGCGTATTTGTTAATATGCTCTGAAGTCATACAAAGAAACAAAATGAAGCTCACAATATAATTATCCTGCTGCCAACAACTGAACCAGTGCTCCAGGCATGTGCATTCTGGGAGAACAAAAATAAAGGCCACAAACATTCCATCGAATATATCTTCGGAAAGATCGCATTTCTTTTAGAGTTTCTTAGAAGCTTCTCTTGATACTGTAATAAATTCTTAGCTCTAACATGAACTAGAACCTCACGATGGAGTTAAATCCTTATTTTAGTTTGGTGGTTTATTGGAAATGTATGCATGAGGATGAGTCAAATTTTGTCTCAGCTCTGGGCACAGCTCCAGCAATACCATTCTATTCAGCAATCTCATGGCTCTTGGCAGCCGTCAACCTCTTGCAGTTGCTACACGGTAACTTTAAATTTAACGAAATATTACAGGCAAATATTTTTATCAGACAGAATTGTCATGGTGTGTCTACAAAATCATTACATAATGATTCTGCTGACTCTTAAGCTTCAGTAAAGCTAATGCTTGGAAGAAACTTTCTATTGAATCTATTAGATGATTTATGAGTCACAGAAACACAAAGGGCATGTTTAATCTCATCTAAACTTGGACATCTGTCATGTACTTGGAGAGATTCATTTGGCTGACTGCTGATATGCCCTGTGTAATAAGATCAATCGCACAATAAAAGTGTTGACTTCTCACCATTGAGAACAAAGTAGGTCTGGGATGGCCAGCTTAAATGTATATTTGTTCTGACAAATTGAATTCCTCCTGTTGGGTCAGCTCCTACTGAACTCATCTTGGATTTTTGAATGTTGTCCTTATTTCTTTGGCACCAAAGAGAAGGTACAAAATTACAGGCTTCACAAATGCTTTCTCATTTTGGATATTTATTCATCTCTCATGGTCTGTTATTGATAAATAAAATCTTCAGGGCCAAAAATTAGTCAATTGACTTTATTGTAGTTGATTCTGCTCACTGGTATTAGAATGAGTTATGAGAAGAACAAAATAAACAGCAAAACTTTTATCTCTTCTTGGTCATCCAGTTTTCTCTGGGTCTTAATCCTTTAAAGTCTGTGCAACTGATACACCAATGGGCATAGCAAATGTTTTGTTCTGTTTGAAGGAATTGCATGTTGCTACTATTTGTAAATCTTTCCTGACATATTTTGTACAATTGGAAAAACCTTTACAAAAAAAGTTTTTTTTCTCTAAGAGATCTATAAAGAATGGATTTGTTTCTGAAGCTCCCTCTTCAAAGACAAAAAATTAAGTTAGTGTTAGTATCTAGTAGCATATCAGCTTCTGAATGCATGTCAGGTGGTGTCTTTTAGCAGGTTTTTTATATCTAAAAATCCTTAGACTGATTAATATTAAATCATAAATAGAAAAGGATACATTATTGGATAGAAATCTGAGAATCTGAATCCACACTCCAGAGTCCAGACAAGTTTTATATTGTTTTGTTCACTTATTTTTTCTAAACTTCATGGTTCTTTGCTGAAACGTAAATTCGTTCCTTAGCTACCATTCAGACTAAAGCCTTCTATCTGAAATACAACTTTTTTAAAAACTTTCACAGGCATTTTATAGCATTTGGCAGGAAATACACATGGGTGGGCAGCTTCTGCAAAGAATTTCTGATTAAATTAAGTTCTCTTATGTATAAAAGCTTTCCTTTCATAATTTGTTTAGGTGTTCTGTGACAGCCTATCTCTGGTGCCTTACAGATGCATCTCTCTTGGAACCCTGCTGGATCCATGTTTCTCTTAAACATTGTTCATATGGAATCTTTACCCTGGTCAGAAGAGCAGATGGAGATGCGTAGGTGTGTGTCAGCCCCCACTGTCTGTACATGGTAGTAAAGGGCTGAGTGGAGGTATTAACTTCCATGCCAAAATTCAGTCGTGTGCAGCACACTGCCCAAACTGCCAACCCCAGTGAGAGGTAACGCTCCTGGCCAGGCTGGGCTGGGATCTTGTGCAGCTCTGGTGAGCTTGCAGGGACAACTTATTTCAGGAGTAACTCAGCTCCTCCACTGTGCTCAGCTGTTTGCTGGAGACACAGCTTGCTGTAGAAAGTTTTTGAAGTATTCTGTATTCACTTTGGCAGAACTGGCTATTCAGCTAAAACCATCAGAAGCTGCAGTTAACTAACACAGAAGCACTGAATGGTATGTGTTGGGTGGGGCCTTTAAAGATCATCTAGTCCATCCCCTTGCTATGGGCAGGGATATCTTCCACTAGACTAGCTTGCTCATCTCTGTCTCATACAGCCAATATATTTTCTGGTCATCTAACATAGTTACCCCAGCTAGATCTAAGATGGATAGAGATTTTGATGTTTACTTGTATATGCTTAGTGCTCTTCCTCCTGTTCTCCTGTGATGATGATCGTAAGGTATTACCAAAATTATATTACAGTGAATGCTCTGTTATGTCCTACAAAGAAAAAGCCTTAAAGACAGGTCAACACCTGCTATTACGACACCAAGAGTGCATTACATTAATGACACACTGAGCACATGGCAAAGTTTCAAGGCATGCCTAAAGTTTTGAAAATTCATGATAAAATGGTTTCTCTAGCTACCTGCAAGTTCACCTTGTTCTATGTTGCCTTGATGCCCTCTGACAGTCATAATCCTTTTAAATCCAAATCATCATCCTGGTGCTGAAGGTGACGAGAGCTGTCCTGGCAGCTGTCTGACCAGCCAAGAGACCTAACTGCCATTAGGCATCCAAATGACAAACCTCAGAGTGAACTTTCTCTCACTTCTTTAGCTTTTATAAAATAAATGAAAAATAAGTAATTGTACTTAAAATGCGGTTGATGTGCGTATGTTAAAATCACTTCCAAAAATAGATGCTGAGAAATAGTTCAGTCTTTAAGGTAGTCTGTACTTTCTTTGCAGAATTTCTTAATTTGAGGTGTAATGATTGTCAATCTCTTCCATACTGTTCTTTTGTCACCCTTCTCAGTAGGTTGTTCTTCCTCCATCATAGTATATATTCACATATTGACCACATTGAGTCAAAAACCAGGATAAGTATCTTGATTTAGCTAAGCACTCAAACATACCATAATATGGGGTTTCATCCAATCTGACTTCTGCCTACTTTCCTGCCTGAGTGCTTTTTTGAAAGGGGATATTACTGCTTCAGAGTTCCTACAATTGGAGCATTAATCCATACTTAAAATATTTGGATTCTTTCATTTCTTTCTTTAGAATCTCAGACAACTGGAGATCCCAGCAGTTACAAGTTCAGCTGCATCGAGCAGAGCACAATGGTGCCCTCCCTCCATCAAGGGTCCTGTGGGCAGCCTGGCCATACAAATGCAGCTCTTTTATGGCTCTATTTATGGCTCTGGACAAACTTAGTCAATTTAAGCTTGAAGATGTTGTCAATGCGATCCAGTATTTGCTACAGATATTCCTAATATCTGCAAATTATATTTATGTTATATTTTTTATGTTCTCAAGCCTGAAATAGAACATTGATGTGTCTGTCATAAATGGCCTAGCAGATTTATGAGACCATTTTGCCCTTTCTAAATTATAACTATGAACTAAGATGGTAAAACATGTAGATTCTGTATCTTCATAAACCAAGAGGTTCAGAGGAAAAGACCCTGTAAGTAGATTTGTTGCAAATGGATTGAAGTGAAGGTCCAATACTCCTATATCCAGAAATTTAGGAAAGGGAATACCCAGGTGATTTATAGTCTCTAGGGGTAATACTAGCATATGAAACAACATTATCTTGACC